GTACTTCTTAACCCATGCCAATAGCAGGGAGCTGGGTTGGAAGTGGAGCAGCTAGGACAGGAACTGGTGCCTATATGGGTTGCCTGCATTGCAGATGGCAACTTTACTCAGTATGCCACGCACTAATGCCATGTCCCCTTATGTTAACGTGGTTGTTCATTCACTAACGTAGCAAGTGCTCCCTACCACCCACTTCCCCCATGAGGGAGTATGAGTCTAAATCCAGTCAGGATATGTGTTCTTGAGATCTGTTAAGCAGATACTGAAGAAAAGAGGGGCTGGTGCTGTGGCAGAGCAGGTAAAGCTGCTGTCTTCAGTGCCTGCATCCCACATGGGCATTGGTTTTAGTCCCAGCTGCTCCACTTCCAATCCAGCTCCCTGCTGATGCTCCTAGGAAAGCAGCAGAAGATGGTCCAAGTCCTTGTGCCCCTGTACCCCCATGGGAGACCCGGAAGAAGCTCCTGGCTTCAGATCAGCCCAGCTCTGGCTGTTGCAATCATTTGGGGTGGTGACCAGCAGGTGGAAGATTCTCTCTCTGTCTCTGCCTCTGCCTCTCTGTAACTCTGCCTTTCAAATAAAAAAATAAATCTTAAAAAAAGAGGGTCATTGAGATAGTGCTTCTCAGTAGAATTTGAACAGTGTCACATGGATGCCTTTTAAAAACTTGGTGAGGGCTAGGAACCCATTTTTTATTTTGCATTGATGGTTTAAGTTACAAAACAATGATAGACTGACTTTCTGCCTGTGTAAAAGAAGTCTAAAGGCTTGCATTTCAGGGCTTTATGGTAGCTCTCTTATTAAGAGAATCTCTAGATTCTTCTTTCTGTGTATGTTGCCTTTGTTAGCAGGCAGGCTGTTGTTTTTCAAGTTGCCTCAATCTCATCAATGGTTGCTGAAGCTACAGCCATCTCATCCAAGTTCTTGACATCAGATAGGGGCTAGGGGAGGAGTGAACATATTTCCAACTTAGTATCCTGACAGCTTTCCTGTAATTTCCATTCAGCATTTTTTACCTGTGTACATTCGCACTCTCATATAAGCAAGGCTGGAAAATGCAGCTTTGTAGCCTGGAGCTCTGCTGTTCCTGGCTTTAGGGGTTTAGTTGTCAAGGAGCTGTGAGTGGACTTGGTGGGGACAGCAGTCAGTTTCTGCCACCTCTTCTGATTTGTATCTTCCTGACAAATCTTGACTAAGTCTTATTGTCTGGTGTGCCTTGTGGGTATTATAAGGAGTAAAACTTTGTGGGGATATTTATAAGTACTCTTCCTGGAGTCTGTACAATATGAAATGCGTAACTCGGATCAGTGATTCTCAGTTCTAAGAGGTGCAGCGCATTCTCCATTGTGCAATAGATTTTATGATCCTGAAACAGAATGTATAGGTAGTTTAATCTATGTTCACATATAATTTTTACATGAACATGTAAGTCATGGACTGCAGCAATGTATTTATGAAAAAATACATGTCAGTCCATAAAGTCTCAAGTACATCTACACCAGAAAATAAAGTAGGAGATACTCAAACGCTGGCCATATATGTAATACCCCTGTGAACATAGCAATTGTAGATGTACTGTAGACCTGTGTTATATTGACAACACAAATGCCAAGAATGGCATCATTATGGCAAATTTCCAAAGAAAACCAAGCTCTGACTTCCCATGATTGACATGGTCATTGCATTCCTGAAAAAAAAATCAGTGATGTTTACAGTAGGCAAAAAAACAAAAAAAAGTTGTGTTTATATGTTAAATATAGCTTAGCACAGATGATTAGAGGATTCAAGACAGTTCTTCTTTATGTGGTAATATCCTGCTCATTTCAGAGCGCCAGGCCTCTTTTCATTTCATCACAATGAATCCCTTCTGCAAATTGGTCATTGTGCCTCCCCCACAAAAAAAATCGTTTTATTAACAGTCCCCACACAAAATCAGCGACTTCAGGGGCAAATGGGAGCCTGTGTTTTAGAGAACTATTTTTTTTAAAGATTTATTTATTTATTTGAAAGAGTTACACAGAGAAGGAGAGGCATAGAGAGAGGTCTTCCATCAGCTGGTTCATTCCCCAGATGGACGCAGTGGCCGGAGCTATGCCGATCCGAAGCCAGGAGCCAGGAGCTTCTTCTGGGTCTCCCATGTGGATGCAGGGGCCCAAGGACTTGGGCCATCTTCTACTGCTTTCCCAGGCCACAGCAGAGAGCTGGATCGGAAGTGGAACACCTGGGTGTCGAACTGGCGCCCATATGGGATTCCTGAGCTTAAAGCCAGGGTGTTAACCTGCTGCGCCACAGCGCTGGCCCCTAGAGAACTCTTGAGTTTCCCATCTTTGAGCGTACTTTGTTTTAGCTGAACTAACTCAGTGGTAACTTGATACTTTTTTTATACTACTATATTTGATTTTGTCAGCTGACCTTGTTTCATCTTGAATTAGATGAGTTTTAAACTTAGAAGCCTTCAAAAGAGATTACCAAACCTTCCAATAAATTCTCAAAATCAGATGTTGAAAAATGAACGTCATGTGGTGTGGCAGGTTAAGATACTGCTTGGGACACCTGTACCCACATGAGAGTGCTGGTTCAAGGCCTGAACTTCCATCCCAGCTCCCTGCTAATGCACACCCTAGGGGGCAGCAGATGATGGCTCCAGTTCTTGGGCCCCTCACACACACATCCAGGAGACCAGAACTTCTTGGCTTTGACCTGGCCCTAGCCCTGCCTGTAGCAGGCATTTGGGGAGTGAATTGGAAAATGGAAGATCTCTCTCTGACTCTGTCTCTGTCTCTGTCTCTGGTTCTCTCTTTCTCTCTCTCTCTCTCTCTCTCTCTCTCTCTCTGTGTGTGTGTGTGTGCGTTCTGCTTTTCAATTAGATAAAAGTAAATTCACTTTTCTTTAAGAAAAAAAAAAACAATATGTTGCATTCCAGCAAAATTACAGTCCATAAGAAGATTAAAGGAAAAGTTGGCCAGCACCGCGGCTCACTAGGCTAATCCTCTGCTTGCGGTGCTGGGACCCTGGGTTCTAGTCCTGGTTGGGGCACCGGGTACTAGTCCCGGTTGCTCCTCTTCCAGTCCAGCTCTCTGCTGTGGCTGTCTAGGCTATGGAAGCCCCTTGAGTTCACCAACTCTGAACTTGTTTAGTCAAGGCTGTATCACAGTGGAGTTTCCTTCCTCCCTTCAGAGAAAGGCGCCTCCCTCCTTGATGGCCTGTTCCTTCTGCTGAGGTCTTGTTCACCAGGATCTTTCATTTAGGTTGTTTTTGCCACCATGTCATGGCTTTCCATGGGCCTTTTAGTGAGATCCAAATGCCCCAAGGGTTGATAATGAGGCTGGAGTGCTGTTTGGGACGTTTGCCATTCTATGAGTCTGCTGTGTGTCCTGCTTCCCCCGCAGGATCATTCTCTCCCTTTTAATACTATCCTTCATTATTTGCATACATTGGTCTTATTTGTGAAATCTCTTCGGCACTTACCCTATCTTTTTGATCAGTTATGTACTTATACTTATCACTTTACCAAGTGTGCTGGCATTGTGTACATGCCTCCTTGGTCAGATTGAGTTGAAATCCCCTGGCACATTTCTAGCTCTACCATTGGAGGTAAGTCCGAGTGAGCATGTGCCAACCTATATATCTCCTCCCTCTCTTATTCCCACTCCTATATTTAAAAGAGATAACTTTTCTGCTAATTTTAAGCGCCTAAAAATGATTGTGCATTGATTACAGAGTTCAACCAGTGGTATTAAGTAGAACAAACAGAGCAACAACAACAAAAAATACTAAAAGGAATAAAATAGTAAGTTGTTCCTCAACAGTCTAGACAAGGGCTGATCATGTCATTGTCTCTCATAGTGTCCATTTCACTTCAATGGGTTTCCTTTTAGATGCTCATTTAGTTGCCATAAAATGATAGTATCTTAATTACATGTACTTTTTAAAGTCAGTGTATGAAATAAATCAACATTTTAAATTTCATTTTTTTAAAGATTTATTTATTTTACTTGAAAGTCACAGTTACACTGAGAGAGGAGAGGCGGCGGTGGCGGGGGGTGGGGGGTGGGTTTCCATCCATTGGTTCACTCCTCAGATGGCTGCAACAGCAGGAGCTGCGTCAATCTGAAGCCAGGATCCAGGAGCTTCTTCCGGGTCTCCCACATGGGTGCGGGGTCCCAAGAACTTGGGCCATCTTCCACTGCTTTCCTAGGCCATAGCAGAGAGCTGGATCAAAAGTGGAGCATCCAGGTCTCGAACTAGTGTTCATATGGGATGCCGGCACTGCAGGCACTACAGGCAGCAGCTTTAGCCACTACGCCAGAGCGTCGGCCCCTTAAATTTCCTTGTAATATTGTGAAGTAAAATTGTGGCCCATCCAAATCAAAAAGTTCATATTCCTTGCCTAGATTGTTGACTTTTTTTTAAATGGAGGCTTTAAGATTCAGTGCTAAAATTGTGCTCATCTGTTATAGTCTAACGTGATACCTCAAACGAAAATTATTAGTTTTAAAGTTTAATTTGTAGATATCCTAACATTGCAATTTATATTAGCTAATTTATGTCATTTAAGACAAATGGACACATACTTATATTAGTTCTTTTTCCATTACCATAATGAAATAACTGAGGCTGGGTCATTTGTAAAGTAAAAGGTTTATTTAGCTCATGATTTTGGAGTTTCAAAGGCATAAGGCCAGCATCAACCTGGCTCTGGTGAAGGCTCATGGCAGGTGCCATGAGGTCAGGAGTGCCTGCAAGAGGGAAAGATACCAGGTCAAGACAAGAAGTCGGAGCTTGACCAGGTCCCATGAGCTCTCTTAATGCTTTCCCTTCCAAGGCTGTGCCCTGCCCCCACTGATCTAATGATTGACCCATCTTCACAGCGCCAGACTGAGGACCAAGCTTCTAGAACATGAACCTTTTGGGGGACACTCTCAAACCATATTCACACTGTGGCAGCACAGCCAAGACAAAGCCATAAGTCTGGAATAATCACACATTTATTTTGTGGGCAGGTGAGTCAAGATGGGAAGTCACTCCTTGACAAGCTCCAGCGGCCCTTGACTCCTGGCAGCTCTGATTCCCTAACTGCCTCTGCCAACTACTCCAAGGCTGTGCACCACGTTTTGGATGTCATCCACGAGGTGCTGCATCACCAGCGGCAGCTCGAGAACATCTGGCAGCACCGCAAGGTCCGGCTCCACCAGAGGCTGCAGCTCTGCGTTTTCCAGCAGGATGTCCAGCAGGTGAGTTTTGTGTTGTGCCCTTCATGCGAGGTGGCTGGAGGCAAATTCAAAGATCATGGTGAGTGCTGTGCCGTTGAAATACTTGTGCAGTGAGTGAGCCTCAGACAAGAATGGAGCTCCCTTGCTGACTATGACTGAAAGAAGGCTCTGAGAATGTGTGTTTAGGATGCACAGCCATTAACTCCTGTGCGGTGAACATTTGAGAAGATGGGGGACACAGGGTACCCTGAGTGCCTGAGGTGATGGAGGAACCACGTGGGAGAGGCTGTGCATTTTGTTCTCACAGGTCATTCCCAGGTATATTTATTTGTGGGGAGGATGCTGGTGATACTTCTACCAGTGTGTTAGAATTTCAGATTTTTGTGCTTTCCATTTGCTTCATGAGCTACTCATGCTCCTCTCCCTAGCTGTTGGACCACAGTCTGTGGTACATAGTAGGAACTTAATCATTAATCATTATCTCACTGATGAAAAGTAGACTTTAATGTCTATTTCTTTCTTTTTAAGGGTTTTTATTGAAAGGCAGAGTTATAGAGAGATGGATAGAGACATCTTCCATCTCTGGTTCATTCCCCAAATGGCCACAGAAGTTAGGGTTGGACCAGGCCAAAGTAGGAGCCCGGAACTCCATCCTGGCCTCTCACATGAGTACAGAGGCCCAAGATTTGGAGCATCCTCTGCTGCTTTCCCAGGTGCATTAGCAGGGAGCTGATTCGGAAGTGGAGCATCTGAGACTTGAACCATCCCCCATATGGGATGCTGGTGTCTTAGGTGGTGGCTTAACTCATTGTGTCACAGCACAGACGCCAATGTTTGTTTATTTCTAAGCAGTTGACATCTCTCTTGCTGCCATTGTTGTTGACAGAAATAAGAGCAAATATGAATGAATTTTCCCATATTTTTCCTTATTGTACAATGGGATTTTAAGGATAAAAGCTGTTGGGAGCATAGAATGCATGACATAACCTTAGTAACAAATAAGGCGGTAGTCATTTTTTTGCCCAAAATAGAGGAAAAACAGGGGCCAGCATTATAGTGCAATGAGCTAAGCCCATATTGGAGTACCATTTCCAGTCCCAGTTACTACACTTTTTATCGAGATCCCTGATAATGCACATGGGAAGGCAGCGGAAGATAGCTCAAGTACTTGGGGCCCCTGGCACCTATGTGGAAAACCAGGATGGAATTCCTGGCTCGGGACTTCAACTTGGACCAGCCCTGGCTGTTGCAACCATTTGAGGAGTGAATCAATCGGTGGAAGGTCTCTCTTTCCTGTCTCTTTTGCTCTCTGCTCCCCCTCCCACCCCACACTTTCATTGCTCTTCTAAATAAAAAAACAAATCTTAATAAAGAAAACAAAAAGAAAAGCAAAGGAATGTGCAGGGTGATGTTGCTGGAGATCTGAGATTCTGGACTCTGCAGGGAAGGAAGCCCCCGACACCTAGGAAGTTGGCCTGGAGCCACAGTGATGTGTCTGTTGCAGAACCCTCTCTGCTCCAGGCATCGTTGAGCCTGTGCATTGTTGAGGCATGTGGCTCTAAGATTTCCATCTCCCTGAGAGTCGTCTGGAGGTGAGGGGCTGGGATTTGGAGACTCAAACTGTTTCCTGATGAGTGCAAGCTTCTGCATGTGTCATTGACCAAAGGTCTTCACTTAGTGTGACTCTGGTAAGTTCAGAATATCTTTAGTGATTTTGTACCTTTTAATTTATTCTTTGACTTTGAGTTTATATTTTCAGTCCTAGGAAGGTTACATATACAGAGTGCCTGAGGAACGATCATTTTGGTAGGATTCATGCTTCTTCACAGTGTTCTTTAGTCCAAGGGAGGAAGACAGAGCAGGGAGAGGGGAGGGTGGAGCCAATGCTGAGGAGTCCTGAAGAGGACGATTTATAAGGTAGGAAGCTCAGATGCTTATTCTCTTTTCATTGTCTCCAACTTTTATAGACCACTAGATGTTAATAGTTTACATGTAATTATTAACCTACCTCATGTCCCTTGGTTCCTTGAACCAAGATTCATTACACCTGTGGACTGATAACACTTTCTAAGGAACAACTCATTTCCTTACCTGAGGGAGCGGTGGTGTGGGTTACCCTCACCTCATTTCACAAGGCTCTTTGGGGGCATTTACAAAGAAGCCATTGGACTGTATAGGTGTGCAGGTTGAGGAGAGGCATGTGAAAAGAAGTCCTTTGGGGAGTTCAGCCACCTGATTTGGCACTAAGTTTTTTGCTTGCATTTGAAAACAGCAAACGTCATGTAGAAGGGTTGTTATAATTATGAAACCAGTTCTTTAAGCCAGGTTTTTTTCCCCTCAAGAACAGGATATTGCATTGGCGGTCAGCAGGAGAAAGTGTTTCGCAATATACACACTGCATATATTGCCCTATGGACATTCCATAGAAAATACTGTTCATTAAGGCTCATGTTTTAGTTAATGATCTGGAATGATTTGAACTTTGAATGCAAACAAGGGACTCTAGGTTGGCTTGACTTGTGAAGCAAGGAACAAAGCTCGATGCGATTAACCAAAGAAACACTCCGACAATAGGAAATCATAACCATACACGTGCTTCTGCAGTTCAAGAAATTAATAACACATAGGGGAATTTTTGCCATGTTAAGTGTAGAGTAGGAGAATTAAGATGAGAATAAATGAGGAAAAACATTACTTTTTGGCTCCTGCCATCGGATCAGCGTGGTGCGTCGGCCGCAGCGCGGCGGCCGCGGCGGCCATTGGAGGGTGCACCAACGGCAAAGGAAGACCTTTCTCTCTGTCTCTCTCTCTCACTGTCCACTCTGCCTGTCAAAAAAAAAAAAAAAAAAAAAAAAAAAAAAAAAAAAAAAAAAAGAAAAGAAAAAGAAAAACCTTACTTTTGAAGGGCATTACCAGCACAAGATAAAATTGTAAAAACAAAAATGGTCTAAATCCACCAGAACATAATGAGCAATTAGATAAACCATAAGTATTTTTCGTTCGATTGTTTGGGATGATGAAAAAGAATCCTGTAAATATTGTTGAAAGAGAAGGGAGTGAGCAACTTGCTGAACAATAGGTGTGGGATGGTTACAGCTTTATGAAAACAACCCTCCAAAAGTGTGTGCTGTTTGTTGAGCAATACTTGAAAGAACGTGTGCTGTTAACAGCACACCCCTGAAGAGCAGAGCGTGGGAGAGTGGCATAGGGAGTTTGAGTTCTAAAAACATGTTTAATTTAAGGTTGTTTTTTTTTCTTCATAAAGCATGACCATTTCGTAATTTCCGTATGGAAGGTATCAGGGATGTTAGTAGGGGTGTGGTGGCATGGTCTCACTACTATTGCAGAGTGCTTACCACCTGTCTAAGGTAAGCCCTGGTGGTGTGTGGGGAGACCACTTAAGATGGCCCTGTGTTGGCTGCTGGCAAATACTGGCTTTAGCCATTGTTAACTTAGAATACAAACTCTGTGTCACATCTCCTGATGATCATATAATGTCTTTGCATTGCCTTAGGTTTGTTTCACCATTTTGTTGAGTTAATAAATGGGTGATTGCATCATGCTAAGTGGTTCCGTATACTAGTTTAGCATATACATTAGTGTTCTGTAAGAAAAAGCTTTTTGTTATTCGTGTTCAAATGGGGTAATATGAGGGGGTCTTCAAAGAGTTTGTGAAAGGTATGTATCGTGAAAGAATCTTTTCACGGATTTCACCTATTTTCCTCCCACCAAAATAAACTTACCGTTCAGTTCCATCTTACCTGAACTTTTTGAAGCTCCCTCCTGGTGGTAGGAGGAGTCCAAAGCAGCATGCAGTTGGACTTGTTTTTCTTCCTTCTCTCCCAGTCCCCATCAGTTTGCCTGGGTCTTGGATTGTTGGGGGTCAGTTACTCCAGCAGTAAATCTGCTTTGCTGTAGCAGACTGGCACCCCTGAGAGAAGTCCCTTGGGCAGGAGACCTTCTTCTCAAAAGGCCACCCATTTTCCCCAGCAGCCCTTGTGTGTAAATGGCACCCAAGGAAGGATCTCTTGGGAGAACTCCCTCTGGGAATGAACAAACAAATCTAGTCTTCTCAGATTCTTCTTGTCCACACATCCTTCTTCATTTCAGAATATCCTAATTGAATGTGTGATGCTCTGAGAGTACTGAAGGAAATATGTTGAACAGTGTCAAGTTCCTTTTGAGGAATTCATAATCTAGTAAGAGCATATTTTTTAAGCAGATGGTTTAGTAGCTCAATAAAATAGAACATAACCATGCTCAGATGTAGCATGCATGTCTTTGGTTATTGTCAGATGTAATTTTGCTAAGGAATAAATTTGAATCATGCCTCTTAAGGTGCTGTCAGCCGTCAGGTGATCAGTGAAGCCAGCTGCCATATCCGTGTAACCTACGTACCTTCTGTACAGCATAGCTGTTGCAGTGATTTTTGTAAAGTGGGTGTTCCTAACTACTTTGTATTCTTTTCAAATGGCAAGGGACGTGTACTCAAGGCAAAGTTAAAAGGTTAGTTTCAGTGCAGGGAGGTTTTGGAAGTGTGGTGAAACCCTTAGTAAAGCTTTTGGTCGTTTAAATGCAAAACCAGGGTTTTTGTGCTAAGTTTCAGTTGTAGGAGGGAAGTCAGGAGATGCCTAAAAAGGAAAGAAAACAGGGCTCTGTTCCATAGAGAAACTATTTGAGTTTGACCTTGGGTCCCAGGCTGCTGCCCTTCAAGACAGTAAAAACCTATTCTCTAGGATGCTTGACTCACAAGTTCTAGGTTAGTACTGTCTACATTAGACTGAGTTTTTAAGAGAATTTTGGATTCCTGAGTTTCCTCTGCTCATTTTTGAGTGGGGGAATTTTTCTCATCCCACTCAACGGGATCATTAGGGAGCCCTAGCTAGTTAACTCCCTCTCCTGTTTACATTCCCACACTTGTGGTTTTGATTGTGCCTCCTGATAAGACTGCTGCAGGACTTGGAATTAGGGAACATAGGAGCCCTGGAGGGAGGGAGGAAGGGACTGACTTGGCTTGGGAG